ACTTCTGCAAGCAGCTGATTTTTGATCTTCACGAACAATTATTTCAAACATAAGGGTGCAGTTTAATCTGTGGCAACTAATCCAAAGAAATTATAGTAATAAACTAATAAGTAAACTAACAGTAACACGTCTATTAATTTTAGCAGATATTTAGTTACTCTTTTTCGAACATTAAGTTTTTAATGAATATTAATGTTTTGGTTGTCTCCACACATCCTGAAAATTATTCGGCAAAAAAAAGATAACTTCCAACACATTTAAAAATATGACCGTCTGAGACCTGCGCAAGACTTCTAGCCTAAAGAAATAGGGATATTCAGGCTATTATCGATTACTGCGCTACAGTTCCATGCAACAAAAAGTTCACATCCACTCCTCCCCGTCCTCTTTTAAGTTAAAGCATTTGAGCTTCGGGTTAGCCTAGGCGACGCTTTTCGCTTCATACTTCTCATTATTTTCATTCCAGTCATTCTCATTCCCTTGCCCTCTCATTCTCTCATCACTCTTACTCTCGCCCTGCAAATTCCCCATATGTACATACAGCTATAGCGGTAGAGGCTGTACTGATGATTTCGGCTCCTATCCATGCGTACAGGGCAACTACTACATCTCAGCTCGGCTGGTGGTCGTTGGTGCTTGGGGAGCCCTCTATCATCTCTGGCAACGGTGTTTCGTGGCGTCGCTCACCGGGATCGTTTGGCAGCCAGCCAGAGAAGCAGGGCAACGTTACCAAGGCCGCAGCGGCTGTATGGCTTGCCTGGTGGGAAGGTGGCGCAGTAGAGGGGTAGCCGTAGTTGTGTGAGTGCGTAGCGCGGTGAGCGGCGGTTAGTGGGTGTACAAATGTCTTCTCCTCCCTCTCTCTCTCTCTTCCTAAGCATCACATTTCCCATCCTCCCTCCTAGTGAGGACTGAGGGCAGTGGGCGACCAAACTCGCCCCGCCACTCAGTCCGAGTAGAACGGAAAGACTGAATTTCGTGCCCAAAAACTGGGCTTATATACGGGAAGAATGTAGGCATAGCCCCATCCTGTTACCCTGATACAACCCTACTCTACACCTCCAACCTCCCTCCCTGATGAACTGAAAGTAAATAACAGGCTCGAGCAACACCTCCAACCTCCCTCCCTGATGACCTGAGAGAGAAAAAGAGGCTCGAGCAACACCTCCAACTTCCCTCCCCGATGACCTCAAAGGGAACAATAGGTTCGAGCAACCCGGGCAACTCTACCCGTCGTCGACAAAAAAGATTTTCCGCAAATCGTGTACGAGACGAGCCGAGCCGAGGTTTAGTAATGTTCTGCGTACACCACTGTCTGTGTTTATACTTAACGGATGTAATACAGACTGCTTCTTCACATTTCTATTCACTGCATGACTTAGTTTCTATATCTGCCTTCTAATGGTTCAACAAAAGTGAATGTATAAAAGAGTTGAATTAAAAGACGTTCAAAGAATTATCACTGTATGAATGGAAGAATGACGAAAGCACGAAACGAATGTTGCCACGACCACCAGTAGTAACTTTGCCTGGAGAGCGAAAAAAAGCTTTAGTAAGTTCGTGAACGGTGCAAAGACGCGCTATGTCAGCTCAGTTTTGAAGCATCAGTCTTACAGAGGACGCTTGACTTATTAGTCTTAGGCAATCAAACAGAACGAAGAGGGGGAAAAGCGCATGTTCCTTGGTTCGAATCAGCACGAGAAGCTGCAGCACTATTCACGAGATAGACAGGGCCAGAAGGAGGCTACTACTGCTACTGCTGCTGATGATAATGCCGCTGCTTGTTGCGTAAAAATGCAGTAAGAGTAGGCAATCACCGTCTAACAGCGGTGGATCGGCCACGGAATGCCTGAGGGACACGTCGTGTAGTGTCATCGGAGAGGGCAGCTGCTCTGCTGTAGCTGCTGGTACCACTGTTGCTGTCCATACGTGGTGACATGGGATCGGGGAAGCGTGGCGATGCCTCGCTGTGGTTCTGCGATTGTTGCTGTGTTTTAGAGCGGCGCAAATGCGGTGGCACGTATCGTGCTCCGCCGTTGCCGCCCAGAGCAGCCCGTGTATCGGCTGCTACATCATCGGTGTTGTTGCGAGAATTTTCCATCAAAACTGCCTAGAACGTTCCGTAGCAATGTTGCATGAAGCGAATGCACAACATCGAATCAGAGCAAATCCGGAACCTCCTGAGAGAGCCGATGCACTATGTGAAATCTGCTACAGTCCGAGTCCTATCCGCACCGAAGTCCATACTTTTCAAAACCGCGGACACAGAGGAGTAGGCAGATGGTAGCGGAAGAAGGGCCATGCTTTTTTTTCTCGTTGACGAGAAAGAGGATGGTTGCTGGGGGTTTCCTAATTTTTTGATGGTTGCTGAGAAGCTCCCATTTTCACACAGTTCTGGAGGACCTCCCATTTCTACACGGTTGCTGAGGGTCCCCAATCCTGAACACAGAGGATAACGCGTACAATTACCCAGACAGAGATATAACACCAAAACAGTTACCCCAGTATACATGCAGTTTACTATGTGAGAAGTAGGATGCCCTAAAAATGCATACCTATGAACGACTAGAAGGGAAAAACAACTGCGGAAGATTTCTGCCATCCCCATGGTGGGACCCTCAGCGATCTTTTTTCAGGGACGTCTATGGCATTCCTGCCGGGAAATAAACTGCGAACCATGCTAGGCTGCGAAAATTTACGATTCACCGTTATCGAGACAATCTCATTTCGTTTCTCCGATAGCCCCAGAGTACTCAAAATTACCCTCCCCGCAGCCAGAGCACTCCCATCTCCGTGCCCTGGTAGCCAGACCCTCCCATCTATTTCTTCCGACCGCATCACGCTTCTGACGAATAATCCAGTAAAAGAAGACAACCAGGCTAGCAGAGACGTTCGAATTGCACTGAGTACAACTGAACGTCACTCTGTGCAATAATCGATTTAACGTGGCTCACTCGTAACGTACGTGCTACATACTCTCGTGATGAGCCATCCTCGCAGTGTTGCTCCCTCTCGCCCTTCTCCACCGCAAACGTGTAATTCCTTGATCAAAACGAGATAAATGCAGCGGACTTGGGAGACACATTTGAAGAACTACTGCTGCTACTACTACAACAACTACAACTATTACAGTTGTTTTTGTTGTTGTTGTTACTGCTTGCATCTGTTTTTCAGCTTATTTTCTTCGCTCTTACAGAAGTAAACGTTGAAAAAACAGTATACCCCCCACTGATGCTTATTTATCCAGCTCAACTATAAGGAGTGGTCTGAGTTGCACGTCGGTGATGAGCAGTACAATCACTTTTATCAATTGCTAGTGGGAAAAA